ACACACACACACACACACACACACACACACATACACACACCAAATCCGGCTATTCTTGTTAAAATGTACATGAATAAAAATTAATCTCGATAATAGTACGTCAACTGTCAATTTAAGAATAAAGAAGGCAATAACTCAATTAGTAATCATAAGAACGTCGTCGTAACATTCACAATTTAGTCATTTTTGGCAAAACTTTATCTTCTTTCACAATATATCGATAAAACTATCGACAACAACTACGTAACTATTTAAACTTTCATGAAAACTGGCAACCCCACAAATGTCAATTTACTCCGTCTTCAAAAAAGACAGACAATTATGGTATATATATAAACTACATTATAAAAAAAAATCTTGCGCCACTATTAATCATGAAAAAATTAACTATTAACTTCTTAACATAATATATTTTTTTCCTAAATATACAGTGACGTCAGTGTGAGAATGTTAATTTTATAAATCTTATCTGTCGGAAATACTCAGGGGCCCAGATTGTAATTTGGCTTAACAGCACGTTTTTGTACGACAAAGATTCTATAAAGTTGCTAAAATGAACCAATCTAACAGTTTCTAGTTTCTACGTACAATTTATTTACTTACATCCACATACGGTCGATCGTACAATATTATACACAACACTTACGCTTGAAGGACACAAGATCCAGTAGTGATTTCGCATTCTGACGTGCCATTTGAATCACGCCAGTGCGATCTTCCTTGGTGGGTGTGACGGTGGTGGTGTCATCGCTCCTAGGGAAATTATTTTGTGGCGGGATGTAAGCGCCTTGTGCGAACTTACGCTGCGCCTGCACCCTCCTAGTAACAAAGATACAAAAATCTTTAAAATCAAAACAGTTAACCACTATATATATAGACCACCGGCCCATAGTAGAAAAGAACAAGTAGGGCAATACCAGCGCGGCTTATAGGCGCGCGAGTTAAGGCTAATGAACGTGGCTCTTTCCGTTTTGTCAGCACGCCTAACTGTGCCAGTTGCTCGCATGCTGACAAATGAATAAAATAATATATAAACTCTGTAAATTAGTTTTAAGATCGATTATTGTCATTTATTAGAACTAAGCAGTCACTCTGTCAGAATAAATAAAGTTTTTTTAAACTAATCTTCTGGCCAGTTACATATTTCGCGCAACCGTGTACAGACGCACAAGTTCGCATAATAATGAAATGCGCATTGAGACTACAAAGTGTTGTACGAGGCTAGAGCACCCGTAGTTTATGCAAACGTATCTGTATGTACTTAGTTGGTAAGCCTTATTAAATAAAATAAAACAAATAGTCTGAGGGAGTGAAATACATGTACTCTTCGAGCTATAACCCCGCCTGTGCGTGCTCTCTTTGCTTCGGCCGACTTGGGTGCGCAATATATAAGACTTACAAGTTTATTAAGTTGGAACTATACTTATTCTCTTGCTGTCTTCTACTTCTGTACATCTTGTTTCCCATGAACATTTCTAATATAATATGTTATTGCGTTCGAGTGTAATACAACTTGGCAAAGAGCAAGTCCTTAGAGTTCCTTTACAAGTTCGGTAGTCGCTGAAGACCCCGAACTCCGAACCTTGCTCACCCGTGACTGCCTGTATGCAGTTAATGCATGAAGTCGTAATCAATTTCATGCAGCCGAGACGTTGACTGCATGAAGTTGTAACGACTTCACGCATGAACTGCATGCAGTCGAAACCCGACTTCGTGCAGCCGAGATCGATTGTATGCAGTTAATGCGTGAAGTCGTAATCAACTTCATGCAAAAAACCATCATGCAGTCAATTTGCAGCAGTCTTAGAGGATGGAAAAAAATAAAAGGAATAGTCTAAGGGGCAACAGAGGTTTTTTTTAATTGATTACTTGCATTAAATATACACAGTTGGACCGCATTCAGCTAGTACTTTTTTAGAAGAACATTACCCAACAAAATTGAATTCAGCTTAGATAGTACCGAGGTCGAGCTTAGAGCTTATATTAACTACTTATAATTGATTCGTGATACCCGGGAGACGAGTGTTAAAAATAGTGTTCTCCTTGGTTAACATTTACTGTTAACCGGTCGATCATAGTAGAATAAGAATAAGTATGCTGACTCCATATTAAACGTCGCAGCGCGGTTTATACGTGTGTACTGTTGGGTAATTATCCGAAAAATTTGAAATGGACGTTTTTCCGGAAAAAATCCCGAAAAATGGGAAAATTATGAAAAATATAATTTCGAAGGCTCAGAGGGGAAAATGTTTTATTATTAACATAGTCAATAATAAAAGAATAATAATAACATAATCAATAAGAAAATGTTTTATTAGTAACATCTTTTGAACTCAATGAACGTTTCATCCGAAGGATTGTTTTTAAAATTAATATAAGCAGACTTGGGATTATTAACAGCTTCAGTACATTTATTATTCCACCAGTAGTGTGGAGGGTTTTTACCCAACTTCCTAAAACGAGAGTTATCAACCGAAGTATTAGTCGAAGAAGAATTACGAAGTGAAAGAGACTTATCAGTAGCAGAAAACAAGATTTCAGAGAACACTGTATAATCTTCTAAAGAAGTATAATTTTGATCCTGAAAATTTGACAATTCCAAATCTACATTTTGTACATAAATATTGCAATCTAGTAAAAAGGATGCAGGTCGCTATTATCAGTTGTGAGACCACTATTTATGACATTATTATTATTTACAAAAACTTTGATTATTACAGGAAGGTGATAACTGCCAAGTGGATCATTATGTACAGACCAATCACAAGAAAGAGCTAAGGATGAAGAAACCAAAGACAAATCTAAGGCATTTGGACGCCATGTCAACGAACCAACTGTTGTGACCTCTCCGCTATTCAGTAAAACCTAGGATTACGCGTAAGTAAAACAAAGTCATTGTCATCAATAATCTTCAAAATATCTCTACCTCTAATATTAACAGAGTTGTGTGGTGAGCATTGAAACCACCAGCACATATCACAGGTTTGGGCACTGATTTCACTAAAGTTTCAAATTTACTCTTGTCAAAAGATGGAGTACAATTTGTTGGACAATAAAAACTTACAATACTTATTTCCTAATTATTTACAGTAATTCTTACACAAATGTTTTGTAAGGAATTGTCAGAATATGTATTTATTTATTTTTTTGTAATCTAGACTATTATATTATGGATTAAAATAGCTACGACTTTATGTTTATTGCCCATATCATTTCTTTCTATATGATATCCTTTTATGTTACAATTTTTAATAGATGTTAACCAAGTTTCTAAAATTGTAGCTACGTGTATATTATGGTCATAAAGACATAAAAACCTATTACTTACAATACTTTGGGCGTTCCACTGCATGATATTCAGATCCATTAATAGGAGGAGAAGTACTGTTTCTAAAAGTTTGCCGAAGGCCTTCTTTTATGGAAGTTGAGTTTATTGGGTTTTCTTTTTGGTACAATACAATTTTGGTTGTAGCGTGTGTTAGAAATTCTAACACTTATTCATAATATTCATCAACAGGTCCAACAGCCCGTGTGCCGCCACGAGCCGCCCCACTGTCGGAGATCGATCGATCGATGCTATACGTCGCATTCAGTTATTTTCTCTAATTTTCTGTATTACAATTGTATTAATACAAAACAAAATACTCAGCACTTAAGTTGATTTAGTTTTTATAATTAATACAGGACGTGTTCGGTGCCACAATTGATCATTCGCGTGTAATCTCGTGTCGACCTGTGATGATAGCGGACGCGTGCATGTGTGCGTTATTATTAATTGAGCGGTGCCTCCGATATACATTGAAGTTTTGTAATTTCAAACACCTCGTTTATTTGTAAATTTATGAAAAAAATATAATGGAAGAAAGTTTAGTAATAACATTTCAAAAAAGATTTCGTCAAAAATACGAAAAATATTTTCACTTTTTCGTTATAATTATTTAAACAAAGATCGAACACTCAGAAAAAGCCCTTCGAACCGACGTCTTCTAGCATACCTAGCCAACCTCTATACTAAGCCATAGAATGAACCAGCGGTCCTTATGGACTTTGCTGTGTTTGTAGTGTAGTAATACAAAGACACGACCTTTGTATTTGGTTTTTTGAACGACATTTTAGCCGTAGCGCCGTCTATAAGAAATCTTAAGTATTTCGTCACCCAGTCAGATACCTTTACAGCTAGCAAGTCCTGGCTAGAGGTGTCGCTATTCATTGTATTTAATTTTTTATAGAATTCATATTATTCAATTATTTTTATGTAAAAATATTCCACTAGCTTGTTATAATTTATAATTCTTTCTGAGTGTTCGATCTTTGTATAAATAATTATAACAAGCTAGTGGAATAATTTCACATAAAAATAATTGAACATCAATTCAATAAAATTTAAATTTTCACTTTGTCTCTTTAATATCTCTAAAACTATCAGGTCCCAGATATGGCCCCATACAAGAAAATACTAGTAACGATTACTACGAAACGAATTAAAACGACATACTGTGTATGCGCGCGCATGACACTGAGAGTACAACCGATTTTCTTACAACACGCGCACTATGCTGCGGTTAGGAGCCGGTGGTTTGTATTACTTTTTGTTATTGAAAATTGTATTCTTTTCGCTGCGACATATTAGGCATTTTACTCTAATCACAAAATATCGAAGTAGATAACCATCAATCACCGTCAATGAATCACTACGCCCAAGTCCAGAAAATATAAAAAAAAAAATAGAAAACATCGAATAAAACCTTAGAGCCCAAGTCCAGAAAATATAAAAAAAATAGAAAACATCGAATAAAACCTTAGAGGATGGAAAAAAAAGATTCCATAGTCTTAGAATAAAACTGTAGCGATAAGATCATTGATGGCGATGTTTGAAGGGCGTGTCATATCTTTTGTGCAATATGAATTGAACCACGCCCACATACCATATCTCTACGGATAGAATTTTAGAGGATGGAAAAAAATAGTCTAAATAGAATACGCAGAGATCTGGAAATTATTCGCGAAAAGTGTGAAATCCGTCAACGTCAGGAATATAGCTTATAAATTTCTATTATTAGCATTGACTTACAAATAAATGGACGACGGGTCTAATACAAAAACCACGAAAAAAATGTCCCAAGTCAACTTATTTAAACGTAGTGACATTTAAAAGAATATGAAAAAGCTAAAACGTTGAATTTAAATTGTAATGTCATCGCAGTACTGTCTAATTTTGCTTGCTTCGCTGTCAGTCGAACAAACGAAGACTAAAGCGTGAATGACGCTCTGTATACGATTTTAATGCCCTATAAGTTCGGACACTTTAGCGCGGACCCGACGTCTATATGTTTGTAAGTCAATGATTATTAGAGTAAATATCTAATAAGTTGATAGTACGATCTCTTTTTAACCGTTTTCAAAAAAGGAGGAGGTTCTCAATTCGACTGTGTATATAACTCCGGTATTTGTGAACCGATTTTCATGATTCTTTTTTTTTTGTTTGAAAGGGGGTACTTTCATAGTGGTCCCATTTAATTTTGAAGAAAATCATCCACCTCTAAGGATGGCTGTTCACGCATGAAGATTCATTTTTATTATAAATAGCGCCTAACTTTACTTTAGGAGCAATTATTTTAATGGTTGATTTTGCTATTTCTCCAATTCAAGGCGTTTTCTCTTCATATGCTTTGAGTAGTAAGAAGCGATTTTTATTTTCTCCAGTGTCAAGTCCTGTATAGCGGCGAAGTAGGGGATATTTCAATAAAACTTAGCAAATAGACGTAATTCCACGTACTTATGAGGTCGGTTTTTTTAGTACTCTGTACAGAGATTATAAAACTCTGGAACGGTAAGGGCGTTTCCTAGGTAACCGTAATGAGGGCTTAGAGAGGGAGATGAAAATGATCGGCAGGGTTAAAAGGCCCCATTAGCAGAATCATAATACGATTCATATTTCAAATCGCAAAAAGGTCACTTAACCGATATTCATATTATGAATTGCTATCAATTCTTATAACGCAATTC